TACCATATATTCGATAATTTGAGAACTGTTTGAGTTACGAAGACGAAATTTCATATATTAGTAAAGTGTCTCATATTCTGATAAATTTTTGAGTGACTTGCGATACCCGGAAGTGGTACTTTATTTCTGGTTTCTAAAAATACTAAAATACCATATAACTTTGAAGTACTGTTTCAGTTAGCGAGAGGAAATTTCATACATAGGCATACGATCTTATTCGCTGTTTTAAGTCCCATTTTTAGTGATTTTCGGTGACTGGAAGTAGTATGCTATTTCAGATTTTTCAAAAATGGTAATCCTTTCCTTTAGAAAGTACTAATTTTCCTCTCTATTATACTCACATTTTTTACTCCAAATTGGTGCGCAATTTTTTTTTCAGCGCGATTTTTAAATAATTTAAATAAAAAAAATATCATAAAAAACGTTTCAATAACAAGCTTTTATGTAGTAAAATAAATTATTCACTACTATTTAAATAACTATAAAGAAAAGCGTGGGTCACTTAAGTATCTATTGGATACCTTTATTAATATTTAGTAGGCATAAAGCTTCTTTCTGACATGTACTTTCATTCATTGAGAATGGTTTGTTTATACATAATGCTGTTACAAAACGTATAATTTCAATTTATTTTTCAACCTGAAAATTAAATTTTTTAACCAAATGTGATTCTATGTTCTGTGGAGAAGACAAAATAGAAGGGTATTTTTTTGTTTTTATGTACACATAATACTAAGGTAAATGTTTAAAGACCTGATAATTAAAATAATTAATTAATTAGTAACTTGATGTCTTTTGAAGAAATGTGAAGGGGCATGTGGTTATAACTGGAGATGCGTCCCTTTAAATTGCTACATTCATAAAAGTCCTTCTAAAGAGATATTTTTTATTCTCGTTTTTTAAATATTTACAAACCAATATTGTAGTTATATGGAGTTATAAAGAAAAAACTAATAATGCTTGTATTTTGTACTTAATGGATAAAGACAAAACGGCATAAAACTAGATATAATTTTGAGGTCTGTTTTAGGTTAGGTTAGGTTTGCCTGTCGCCAATCCTGGGACATAGGCCGCTGACAAGAGCTTTCCAGCTTTCTCTGTCCTGGGCTAGTCTCTCCAACTGTCCCCAGGTGTATCCAATCTTCTTGGTGTCTTCTTCCAGGTCACGTCTCCAGGTCTGTTTTCGTAGTAGGCTAATCTCGCAACAAATAGTTTCGTCTAAATGTGTTTATATTTTTCGTTTCTTTGACTTAAAAACTGTTCTTATTGTTGTGAAATTTTTCCGTTTGATTTAAATTTTTAAAAGCGTCTCTTTAGAGTAAAGAGTAAGCAGTTAAAAAAAAAGTTATCCATAATGATCTAGCTTAAAGTAACGGAGACCACACACCGCAACTATTATCCGCTCTAAACCGGACGTCTTAAATTTAAATTAAACTTTCGGCCTTGTTAACAAGCCACAAGCCGGCAGACGATAGAAGATTTTCAGTAATCATCAACGAATCCTGCCTGTCAACACCCATTACACTGTTGATGTATGAGGCACGGGGAGGTCTAAAGGTGTGGATGGACCGGATATCCGTTTAGATGCCTTTTCAGAATCAACTTATCCTCTTTCCGGACAATAGCATATTATTAACAACATAAGCGTTCAAATCTTTGGGTTTTTGAATATTTTCGTGAAAATTTTTCGCACATCAAAGTTTTGTCGACATATCCTTATTATTCTATTTTATATATCTATATATATATCTATATATCTCTATATATCTATATATCTATATATCTATATATATCTATATATCTATATATCTATATATCTATATATCTATATATCTATATATCTATATATCTATATATCTATATATCTATATATCTATATATCTATATATCTATATATCTATATATCTATATATCTATATATCTATATATCTATATATCTATATATCTATATATCTATATATCTATATATCTATATATCTATATATCTATATATCTATATATCTATATATCTATATATCTATATATCTATATATCTATATATCTATATATCTATATATCTATATATCTATATATCATATATCTATATATCTATATATCTATATCTATATCTATATCTATATCTATATCTATATCTATATCTATATCTATATCTATATCTATATCTATATCTATATCTATATCTATATCTATATCTATATCTATATCTATATCTATATCTATATCTATATCTATATCTATATCTATATCTATATCTATATCTATATCTATATCTATATCTATATCTATATCTATATCTATATCTATATCTATATCTATATCTATATCTATATCTATATCTATATCTATATCTATATCTATATCTATATCTATATCTATATCTATATCTATATCTATATCTATATCTATATCTATATCTATATCTATATCTATATCTATATCTATATCTATATCTATATCTATATCTATATCTATATCTATATCTATATCTATATCTATATCTATATCTATATCTATATCTATATCTATATCTATATCTATATCTATATCTATATCTATATCTATATCTATATCTATATCTATATCTATATCTATATCTATATCTATATCTATATCTATATCTATATCTATATCTATATCTATATCTATATCTATATCTATATCTATATCTATATCTATATCTATATCTATATCTATATCTATATCTATATCTATATCTATATCTATATCTATATCTATATCTATATCTATATCTATATCTATATCTATATCTATATCTATATCTATATCTATATCTATATCTATATCTATATCTATATCTATATCTATATCTATATCTATATCTATATCTATATCTATATCTATATCTATATCTATATCTATATCTATATCTATATCTATATCTATATCTATATCTATATCTATATCTATATCTATATCTATATCTATATCTATATCTATATCTATATCTATATCTATATCTATATCTATATCTATATCTATATCTATATCTATATCTATATCTATATCTATATCTATATCTATATCTATATCTATATCTATATCTATATCTATATCTATATCTATATCTATATCTATATCTATATCTATATCTATATCTATATCTATATCTATATCTATATCTATATCTATATCTATATCTATATCTATATCTATATCTATATCTATATCTATATCTATATCTATATCTATATCTATATCTATATCTATATCTATATCTATATCTATATCTATATCTATATCTATATCTATATCTATATCTATATCTATATCTATATCTATATCTATATCTATATCTATATCTATATCTATATCTATATCTATATCTATATCTATATCTATATCTATATCTATATCTATATCTATATCTATATCTATATCTATATCTATATCTATATCTATATCTATATCTATATCTATATCTATATCTATATCTATATCTATATCTATATCTATATCTATATCTATATCTATATCTATATCTATATCTATATCTATATCTATATCTATATCTATATCTATATCTATATCTATATCTATATCTATATCTATATCTATATCTATATCTATATCTATATCTATATCTATATCTATATCTATATCTATATCTATATCTATATCTATATCTATATCTATATCTATATCTATATCTATATCTATATCTATATCTATATCTATATCTATATCTATATCTATATCTATATCTATATCTATATCTATATCTATATCTATATCTATATCTATATCTATATCTATATCTATATCTATATCTATATCTATATCTATATCTATATCTATATCTATATCTATATCTATATCTATATCTATATCTATATCTATATCTATATCTATATCTATATCTATATCTATATCTATATCTATATCTATATCTATATCTATATCTATATCTATATCTATATCTATATCTATATCTATATCTATATCTATATCTATATCTATATCTATATCTATATCTATATCTATATCTATATCTATATCTATATCTATATCTATATCTATATCTATATCTATATCTATATCTATATCTATATCTATATCTATATCTATATCTATATCTATATCTATATCTATATCTATATCTATATCTATATCTATATCTATATCTATATCTATATCTATATCTATATCTATATCTATATCTATATCTATATCTATATCTATATCTATATCTATATCTATATCTATATCTATATCTATATCTATATCTATATCTATATCTATATCTATATCTATATCTATATCTATATCTATATCTATATCTATATCTATATCTATATCTATATCTATATCTATATCTATATCTATATCTATATCTATATCTATATCTATATCTATATCTATATCTATATCTATATCTATATCTATATCTATATCTATATCTATATCTATATCTATATCTATATCTATATCTATATCTATATCTATATCTATATCTATATCTATATCTATATCTATATCTATATCTATATCTATATCTATATCTATATCTATATCTATATCTATATCTATATCTATATCTATATCTATATCTATCTCTATATATATATATATATGTATATATATATATATATATATATATATATATATATATATAATCTGTATATGGATGTGTCTGCGCATGTGTAGACATGTGTTGTCAGTAGCGTGAACTCGTACATGTGCGCGCGCGGAGACACACACACACACAAGCTCTCGCGCAACCATTACACACACTGACACGCACTATTGATTTTCGCACAGATGTGACACAACTGTTACATACAGTGCTCATTTTCCTAGAATACCCTCAACACCGTGTGTACTGCATATCGCCTAACTCAAAACCTATAGTGCGTCTTTAGATTTTGTAGCTAAACTAGATCCATAATGAATTCCCTCGTGCCGATGCGCACTAGTGTGTGTCATAAAACTAAATAAAAACAAATATTCTTAAAATCACAAAATATTTATTTTTCAGAAAAAGCTAATAATTACACGATAAGAACAACTTTGAAAGATTGAATAATGTAAAAACATCAATTCACTATACTGTAATTTTTTACAACTAGTATTGGGGTTATGCATTTATTTAAAAAGTGAAAATAACAATTTGTAAAAAAAAAAAATTAGATTACAAGATTGACATTATAGGAAGAAAAGTCAAACAGTTCACTTAATAATCAAACATACTGTCTATTGATGTAATTTAATCTTTTTTTCAATCACACCCCCTTATTATGACAATCGAACAATACTGTTCTTATATGAGCATTCCATTGCCTACAAATATCAAATTAATTTGTAGTTTGTTCATTCTTTTATTCTTTAAATGGGTGATGTGTTGGTATGTTATGTACTTTAATGCGATAACTCGTCACAACAAAACGAAGTGATACAACATTCTTGAGATATGAGAAACTGTTTAGTTCTATTACAGTACCGAGAAGTTTGGTGTGATATACACTAATGTAGTGTAACACAATGTAGCGTGATATACAGCAGTATGATGCACAGACGTGTGATATACTGTAGTGTGATATACGGTCGTGTGATACACAATCGTACGCTTCAAGCAAGCTCGCATGCCGTTTGGGTTTTATCAACCTGTTCACTGTGCAGTAGCCAGTAACACATCACTGGATCCTAAGTAGGTCAGTTGTCTTAATCAGAAAACACGAATAAGCCTATCACTATATTTTCAGTGTGCACGGACAAAGAAAATAGGGGCTACTGTGTGCAGGGGTGGACTGGCTCACCGGTTTACCTGGAAAAATTCAGTTGGGCCCCCAGGAAAAAATGTCGATGGGCCACCATGAACGGTGCTGTAATAGTCCTATAAGAAATGATTGGTTTTTTAAAATTGGTTGTAAATTACATTTTCTTCATGCCACGGCGTAGAATTCAGGCTTTTATAGAGAAAAAAAATGCACAATTATATTTTTTTTCTGGGGTTGGGGCCCCTTTTAAAATTTACCGAGAATCTCTCACAGCCAGCCACCACTAACTATGAGTCAGTCTGCTTTTGAAACTACATACATTTTAGCAGTCTTGAATGATGGAGAAACATATCCACAACACTACAATTTGTTTTGTTTTATGTGAGTCCTTGTTTTTTTTTTTAAAGTAATTTTCTTTAGTTTTAGTTTCTAGTTTTAGGTTTTAGTCATTTTTTGAAGGAGTTGTTGATTAATAATAATTGGTAATCAAAGAATATGGCACCATGAGTCTTTTTGTTTCAAAAATATATTTCTACAACTCAATTTGATGGTATTTACGACCAGTGAAGTGACAACAGGATTTTGTAGTTCGATGAGCTGAGAGTATATGTTTGAAAGATAGTTGACTGTGAAGTCCATCTTGAGTATGTCGTTACAGAGCTTTTCACATTGTTTTTCCAAATCTTTCAAGAGATTTGTTCCTTTAGCTTTTTCCTTGATTTCCTTGTACAGCCCAGTAGCCTGGAGTTCCAGCTTTAGCATGAATTCTTGAGTAAATATTCTGTTGTCGTCAATACCACATTGTATGTCATACATCAGTAGTGAGATTTTTCGTTGGATTTCGGCACTTAGAGTAGGAAGCTGGTATTTTAGAATCAATCTTTCTCGTTCAAGATAACAAGCTTGAAAGCGATCGCTAGTGTAGCGTCCCCTTCTAGTGAGCTGCGATGCTAAATTTAGAAGTTCTTCTACCGCTGCTTGACGCTTTGCGCTATACTTCTCGTCTTTTCTGTTGTAGAACAGGATAACCCTGAAATTACATTCATCAAATAAAGGTTTGATAGGGTCCTTCTGTTCTCTGCACCATTGTTTAAAGGAAATGGAATTCTCTTCTTCGAATGTATCTCCGTTTGTTATTATAACAATACAATTTTCTCTAATAAAATTTGGCCCGTACACCGTTTTTAATAAGTCTATAGCCTTTTTTTCTTCACTAGTAAAGCGATTGCCGTATTTCAGAACAATCAACATGGCATCAAATCCCTCAGGGCAAACGCTCATTATCATCGGGAGGTTTTCCGCGATGTTCTGGACCTCTTGCGTGTCGTTCGTATCCATCAACCCCGGGGTGTCCACCACTTTAATTTCTGCATCACTGCGTCGTCTGTACCTGCAGACAGTCAGCTGGGTGCATGCGTGCGCATTGCCAGATTTAAAAAAGGCGTCGTATCCTAAAATTGTGTTGCCGGTTGAGCTTTTGCCATTTCCGGTTTTTCCGAGTAGAGCGAATGTATATTTTTTTATAACATCTGAGGATGCGTCGGAAGCCATGCTTGTATGTCACTGAAACATATCAAATAATAATTAACCATTGCTGACGGCAAAACTCGTGGCTGCTAACCCGAAAGTCTCGAGTTCGGATCCCGAGTGTAAGGCCGTAGGACACTCATGCGAGTCTACCAAGCTCTGATAAACACTTAAATCACAGGAAAAACTAACGCGGCTGATCACACTATCCTTGAATCTGCCGTGGTAATTAGAACTGATCAACTCTACTTCATCTGCCCCATGTGTCGAACCCAACAAGTAAGCGTATTAAGGTTTCACCTGTTAGATGGTTTTATTAATTAATTATTTAAAAAAAAATAGAAATATTTTAAATTAAAAAATTGGCAACTTTGAGAACTGTTATCTCTCCAATTTGATGGTATTGTCCGGTGCAGTCCTAACTCCTATCCCAGCTCGAGTTTTTTTTTAATTAAAATTTTTTTTTTTACATCACACAACCAACTCGTACTTTCATTTTCAGCATTTTAAAATCGTTCTAATTTGAAAAAGACGATTATACGAATACGGTGATAAAGGCTGAGTGTTTTGCGTTAAGTAGTTCCGATAAATTGTTTATCACTGGCTAAAAGCCGCTATATAGACAACTAATGTATAACTACTAGTTAAAATGCTAATGTGGCTCTCACACTTTTTACCATCCCCTCATTGTCACAAAAGCACGGCACCACCACTCACGACTATGACGTCATCAACGGACAGTCCCTTACCTGTAGATTTATTTCTTCCAATTAATGTTCAGTCACAGAAATACACAGATGTGTAACGTTGTTGTCGGATTCTAAAGTACACAACCTACATCGACACAGATTACTGTAAGAAAATATTTCACCATTTATCCAGATACAAATTTTGTTTTTTTAATTTGCAAAGTTAGTTTACTGATTATGTATTTATTTTAAAATCCACCTTTCGCTGATGTTGTATAGTATTGTAGCCAAGCTTCTAGATATATTTTATTTGTAGTCATGTTAATAATAATAGCATCAATATATAGATCTATATGTCTACTGGTCTATAATTTATAGGTTCATAAATCATTTAGATTTAGAGTTTCAATTAGCTATCTGCAAAATAAAAGCAATAACAAAATCCCTTCAAATACTTAAGTAAAATAAAAACATTACATTTGAAAACCACAAACCACATTAAAAATGAAGTTAGGAAAACAACTCTTTCTCTCTCTCTAACACAGTTGACAATACTGAAACTGGTCACTATGTCAATAATAGGAATTCCGTCAGCGATTTTCTCGAAAAATGTAAGTAGGTCAAGGTATTACTGCGCTGATGTACATGCCGTTTATGAAATCCCGATTGAGCTATTTATACATTTGTTTGATAACCAATAGAGAAACTGTTTCTAAGTATTTTTTTTTCCCTACGCTATTGGATTTAATAATTAATTGGCTTACATTTTGTGCATTAATGTACGAGCCCAGACATATTTGTTTCACTTATCCAGTATGACATAGGGGTCGCCCATAAATGACGTCACACTCGTAGGGGGGAGGGGGTCCGTAATTTTGTGACGTGTGATGAGGGGGAGGGGGTGGTTCAGATGATGTGTCGTCACATTTTTGCATTATAAAAAAGTAATGTTAGAAAACGAATTTTAGCCGTTATTTCGCGTTTTAGAAAACGGTTTTAATAAATTATAATAGGAATTGATTAAGATACTCTATGTTGACAGAGTTCAGAAAAGATTTTGGAAAAATATCAATGTTTTAAGAAAAATTCAACTGCAATTTTGAGGGGGGGGGGGGGGGGGGTTGTAGGCTGAGGTGTAACGTCATTTTAGTGTGTGTGTGTGTGGGTGGGGGGGGGGGGATCTGGCTTTTTGTGACGATGCGTGACGGATGGGAGGGGGAGGTAAAAATCGTCAAAAAAACACGTGACGTCATTTATGGATGACGCCTTAGTATGCCACAACTCATGCCTAGGGATACAAAATGGGAATCCATTAAAAAACATTCAAAGCACACATGGGTGTGAAACACTGGTGTTGGCTCACACGGTTGGTTGACTGAAGGAAACCAACGAACTGAAATTCAACGGACACTCGAAGACTTTGATTTGGCTGATCAGAGTTTCTTCCAGGAATCTCTTCGCCCCCCCCCCCCCCCCCCCCGAATAAAGTCTACCACCCTACCCCCCCCCCCCACCCCCGAACGAGATGGAATTTATAAACATACACTTTTACTAGTGTCCGCCCCCCCCCCCGAAAATGTTGACCGCCCCCCCCCCCCCCCCCCCCCCAAAAAAAATCTCAAGTGCCCCCCGGAGAAAAATGTCTGGAAGAAACACTGTGGCTGATGATCTCTGCCTTCAGATTGTCAACACTGCAGAACAAAAGTACTAGTTGAAGAAACAGCAAAAAAAAAAAAAAAAAGTAAACATCCCAAAAACAATGATGGTGGTACCGGTGAAATCTTTCAGCCTAGAATAGAAAAAAAAGTACCCTTTCAAATCTTACGACCCATGTGAGTTTAAAGCACATTTTAAAGTACGTTTTGCAGGCAAATTGTCGTCTCGGCCTATGCAGAAAGAAAAATAACGAATTAATAATCGCAATTGTCAGTATGGAAATTGCGCTAAAAAAAGAATAAAACTAGCCTAGTCCAGTGGCCCTCAATCTTCTTGGAGGTACCTAACCTCACCAGTATTTTTACCCATTCACCGAACCCTTCTTTACAGTCCTGCCATCCGCACTGACAAAATCCGATTGTGAATCATATTAGTTGGGTGTGTGTCTTGACCCTGCGACTGCTTCACCAATCCTCGGTGTTCGTTCAAACCCTAGGCTCAGAACCACTGGCCTAGAAAGTGGTTTGTACGTGGTGGATATTAACAATGTAATGCCCATCCATTACTGTACAGAATGATTGTGTCAGTTTTGGATACATTAATTACTGCCCTTCGAGAATTTTGCCTCTTCAATATATTGGCTGCTAATTTTTTTTTTACTTCTACAAAACTAGATCGCAGACAGAATTGATAACATGCGATGTTTTTGTAAACACCTACAATTAACATAAGATGGGAAATATAAATCCTGGTTGTTTATCCTGGTTCATAACATTTCATTTCAGTGAAGCAGTATCCCCTCCCACGCCATCTGCTCTGGCCTGTAGGCTATTTTACTGGACTTGGAATACCTCTTTATGAATACGATGGGTCCAGAAAATATGTAGGAATAATCTTTTTTAAAAATGTTTAAAACACCCTCGCCTCAAAAATTTATAGTTTATTTTTTAAAAGCTAATAAATCTTGTACCAGAAAAGGTGTATATTAAAAAAAGAATCAGTCTCAGGCAATTCATTTTGAGGTTTCTCTAACCTATTTTTGTGAAGTCATACGTCTTGTGTTATAAGGGAGTCATCCATAAATGATTTGGACGATTTTTACATCCCCCTTCCCTCCGTCACACGTCGTCACAAAAAGCCAGACCACCCCCCTAAAATGACGTCACACCCTCAGCCTACAACCCCCTCCAAATTGGTTGCTGTTGAATTTTTCTTAAAACATCGACATTTTTCCAAAATCTTGTCAGAACTCCGTCAACATAGAATATTTTGTTCAACTCCTATTACAATTTATTAAAACAGTTTTCTAAAACGCGAGATAACGGCTAAAACTCGTTTTCTAACATTGCTTTTTTATAGTGCAAAAGTGTGACGTCACACCATCTGACCCCCCCCCCCATCATACACCGTCACAAAATTACAGACCCACCTCCCCCCTACGAGTGTGACGTCATTTATGGAGGACCCCTAATCCAGAAAACCAGTACTTTTAAATTATATTAAAAATAAAGATAATTAAGAAAAGAAACAAAACTAAGCCCGTTTAGCTAATGGTTTATTTTTTTTTAATAACTTTCAACATAAAAAATTAAACAACAAATAAAACAACAACAGCAAAAAAAAATGTATTAACGAAAAAAATATTTCTTTCTGACTATTTCTGTTCAAAGTTGAGTAAAGACTAGCTGAGTAAGTAGCAGTTTAAAAATCATATACAAAGTCTTAGTATTGTTGCTTAGACTACAGAAACTACACCAGTTTTACAGATGAGTTGTACACAGTGATAACAGGGACTAGTTTTTAAACATTGTTAACTATGAGACTTCATCATGATGTGTGTGAACAATAAAATAGATACATTTCTAAATTTAAAGACGTATGCGTGAGATGTGCAGTTAAAAATGAAGAAATGGTGACAAAATAACACACAGTAAATAAATCTAAAGCAAATGCTACATAATAGATTCAATAGTTTTAAAATGTGAATGGATATTTTTTCACTATTATGAATTGAAACCAACCCTAAGTAATATATTTTACAGTATGCTTTAATTAACCATTTTAAAAAGTTAGATGTATCTACAATTAACTGAAAAAAAAAATTAGCATGAACTAAATACAATAAAGTTTTATGACATAACAAAAGCATGTATCTCAACTAATAACTGCATTGCATGATTCTAAAAATAAAATGTGCAATAGCTGATGGGGCGTGCAGTTATGTAGAGACAACAACTACAATGTAGGGAACAGCTAAACAATGCATGGTCTAGTGTTTCAATCCCCATGAAGGAAACAGTTAAACAATGCATGGTCCAGTGGTTCAATCCCTATGAAGGAAACAGCTAAACAATGCATGGTCCAGTGTTCAAACTACCCTGGAAAGAATAGCTTCCCATGTACCGACATCTTTCTATATTTTATGGCGTAGGTGAAACGAATAAACATGCTATGAACAGTTTGTTAACTGACTTAAATGTCATGGACTCTATCAAATCAGTAGTTTACACTTTCAACTTTTATAAACATTTATCCTAACAGACAAAGAAAACAAGGTTAAAAATGATATTAGTTTAGGCATCAGAATAAGGTATTTAAAAATTAGGCAATATTAAGATTAAAACTGAGACTTAAAATGCATCAGTGTTGATGATCCACAAAGAAAAATACAGATGTAACAATTTACAGATGGTTTAAAATAATTTCACATTTAGAAAATATTTTTATATGTAAAATGTATAAATAATAAGAAATAACACATGTACATTAAAAATTTAACAGTGCCTTAAAATTTTTGAAATCCTAAATAAAAGAAGAAACATCCTAAAATAACTTCTACTGTACACAAATAATGATCTAAACCTTAAGTTTGTGTAATGAGCAATTATAGGTAAACAGCCAAATTGCACAATTCCGCAGTCATACAAGCTTGCTGAAGTTAAGGGAAATAACTCTGAGCAAAGATCAGTGACATCACACATTCAATCTTTACCATGTCATCCCGCAATTGATTTCAAGCTTGACAAATAATGTATAAAAATAGTTCAAATCTCAGGTAGTCATTATATGTATAGAAATGTGACAGTTTAGCAAACTCATGTGTTCAATGTTTATAGCTGGTGCATTAACGAGGGTTTAAAAAAAAATCAAATCATAATTTATCTCTATTCAAACTGGTAGTAACCCAAATTTGGGGATTAGTAGAATTTTAAATCTTTAATTTTATTATTTTAATGATAAAAATAGAACTTGATTTAAAAAAATCTTCAATAACAAAAGGAAATGCCCATTGACTATACTAAATTAAGTCAAATATAGATCTTCAGAGTGAAAGAGACTTAAATATTTTAGATTGAGCTGACAAAATTGGAATGTTCCATTAAAAAAATTATTTTATTTTTGGTTTAGAGGGAGAATGCTCTTTTTAATTCATTGAACATTGACAATGAAAATTACTTCCCTTGATTTTTTAAAAAAAGATACTAAATACATTTACATATGAGGACATTTTAAGCATTTCTTAGTTTACTTACTTACACAAAAATTGCTACTTCATTACATAATCACAGAAGACACACAGTTTAAGTAAATAAAATATAAAATCTTGAAACCTTGTCTAAAATAAATATATGTGTTGATTGAACAACAACAGTAATTTTGTGAAAATATGGCTTATGAAGTAGGTTAAAAATAAGTAATTTTTTTACAATTGTAACAAAAAATTTTAAGTTTTACTGTACAAAAAAAAAACAACCCCAAAACAATTCAGCTGATTTAAATTGTTGTCTTCAGTAGTGAATCATTCTCTCCAAGGTTATAATCCATCACTAAATTTCTAAACAAACAAAGAGTAAAAACATTTTCTCTGCTCCAAATACTCCATCTATTAGTTGTCATTTGACCCCATGATATAAAATCATCTAAAATATCTACACTCACACTAGTCTAATATTTTATCTGTTCAAGATATTCAATGTTACAATTTAAAATTTTTCTAAAACTTTGATACTCATACTAACATAAAGGGACAATAACCCCTGATAAAAAGCTAGATTTAATTGAAAACATTCATGATATTATAAACCATGACATGTGCTATTTGGCTTGTCTCTAATGATCATGATGAAAATACAATAAAGGTGGAAATCAAAACAAAAATGCTTTTTCTTTAAACTTGTAAAATAATAATGATATATGGGTGAGGCTAGGTAAATATATTTTGTGAAACATTTTTTTTTCCATACCAATAAGTTAAATTTGGTCCCTTAAATTACATTATGTATGAAAGCTAAGTTTCAATAAATGCATGATGAAGATTAAGTGTTATGAAACTGTTTCAGTATATGCTAAAAAATAAAAAATAGATTTCTTATCAGTAATAATTTAAAAAAAAATAATGTTGCTATATAACTTAAACCTATATAAATGCAAGAACTATTTTTTGACTTGCCTGTTAAGACATAATAAAAAATTTTTATGAAGTAGTTTTAAAATTTACAAAACTTTCTGTTGTCATTAGTTGCCTTAAAAAATTAAGTCACAATTCGGCTAAATCATATAAAACTAATCAGTCAGTCAACCAACCTACTAGTGATGTAATTTGACTTTAATAAGACACCTAGATGGCACATATTGTGTTTCTAATTATTTTAAACAGGGGTTAATTATTCAACTAATTATATTTCTTTATATTTTTTTTTTACTATTTCCTAAGATTATTATATACCAGCTACTTATAAAAAAAACCCAACTATCTTACAAGCGAATTTAAAATGATGCAAAAGCACGCATTTATAGAAACCTTTAAAACCCAAACTAGCTCCAAAATTAATGAAACTAATAAATAAGATATATTTGTTCCGCTTAAAAATTTAGAGATCAAATTTAATTTTTAAAAATTTAACAAACTGACATAAAATGGCAGAATAATTGTTAAAAACTAACATGAAATTAATGAGGAAGCCTGAACAATTTTTACAAACTAACATGAAATGAATGAGGATGGTTAAACCAATGTACAATTAAAAAAAAAACTGGAGCATGATAATGTAACAGGCTGTAAGTCATAAAATGATAAACAGTTACAACACCAGGCTATGTACTGTGTTCTTGTACCATGTGCTGAGACTTACAACATAAAGCGTTAAGTAAAACGTGCAGATGTAACAACCAAGGGAAATATACACATGAACTGACAACATATTTTAAAATGTACAGACAAGATTTTGTTAGCTGTTCTGCTAAATTTAGCATTTGTAAGACAATATTATAACCATCAAACTAAATAAAAAGTGTATTGTAACAAGTCAGAATACCCATTTAATACACATTTACATTTAAAAACAACAACATTTACAGGTCTAACAGAATTGAAATGATTAATTAATTGAACCAGTGGTTTTATTTACCTTCTTAGAAATTTAATTTCCACAACTGAATGATTAATGAAATAATATGCACAACAGGTGAATGTACATGGTCCCCTAGTGTTCTATCTAATAGAAACTTGTCCAAATTGTTGATAGCTTTAATAGAATATTAACTGATAACATTAAAGTGCCAATCAAGATTCCAAGGGACCTGAATTCTACTTGTCTCATAGCTATACCATTGATAACTTTGCTGCTTGCTGATATCCCCAAGACTGTGTTTAAAATCATAGACATTTGTACATCACTGCTTTAAAAGAACATGTTGAGTGACTTGTTCATAATAAAAGAATGATTTACTAATGATTTAAACGTACGCAATGGGCTTGTTAAAGGTTAAAAATGTATTGTACATAGACTAGTTGTGAGACACTTAAACAAAATGCAGACACAAAAAAAAATGTGTTTTATTCTTGGTATATTATTATGTTATAGTACTAAAAGAAATACTGTTCTAAAAATGTGTTTGAAACCTCAAAAATTGAAAATAAAACATTTCATATACAGCTGGATGTAGGGCTGCCTTGAAGGCCTATTTTTATGTTAATAATAAACAACACTGTCCATCAGAATACAATAAATGTAAAGTAACTAATTCAAAGGAATTACTTTGGCCAAGATATATTCTGACATTGATAATTGATAAGATGCAACATTAATCATAGTCATGAGTATTTATATTAACATGAACATTGGATGCATGCAACAATTTTTCATTTCAAAATAATGATTTTCATTAGGCCTTTCTGCATTTTCTTAATTTTTTTTCGTGAATGACTGAGTTAATATGGTTACATTAACTTAATTTAAATCTGGATTCTCTAGAATTGATATAATTAATCGATATTTGAAAATCTAATATAATTTTTTTGTTAGATCAATCATTCAATGGTTCTTAACTTTTTTGTTGGTACTGAACCACTAGATTCATACGCGAATTCACAGAAGTTAACGTGAATCATATGAGTCAGGTGTGTGTCTTGACCGTCGCCAAAATCTGAGGTTCGACCAAACACAGCTTAAGAACCACTGAGTAGAGTTAGACACAATCATAAATGAATTTCTGAATTATATTTTTTAATAAAAGAGTGAAATTTTAATTTCATGGAGTAACTTAACTAGACTAGATCTATCCCAAAAAACAAAACGTCATTTTAAAATCAGCTTTCTCTTGAGATAAGTAGATCTAGATTCTAAAAAAATGGGTGTAGATTGTTCATAAAGGTAGGCACGCATAAAAATTGATTATTTATACACATTTCTACAGTGTTTTGAATCTAACATGAATCATCCACTCTGGCCCACTTCCGGTTCATATCATGTGACAGCTATTATTAGTTCGTGTTTTCTATTTACATCACTGTGCAGAAAAGTCCGGCCGTGACCTTGTAGGATCACACCCTCGCCGTACTGACGCTAGTGAACGTGGCTTTCCGTCTGTTTCGCCTGACGAAGAAGACGATAGCTAGAATGATGCCCGCGAGAATGGGAATGCAAACGACGGCGGCTCCTCCCAACTGGAATGCGATGCTCCTTTGATGGCGGCCATGAATGATCAGAAACGCCCCTGTAAAAATATAAAGATAGATCTAGTAACAATTTAGAATTAAATTGAATACAGTTAAGTTTACAATTTAATTTCAGTCTTAAGGGCAGTAAAATTAGGCTATTCGATTTGCCGATAGGGCGATACAGTATCGTAATCGAGTTCCATTTATTCCGTTCTCGCTGGTGAGGTTAGCAAAGCGATACCAGCTTAAAATCACTTCGATACAGCCCTATGGTGAAACGTGGAAGTTGTAACATCAGGGGGTGGGGAATGTGGGCCGCAACGGGGTCGCACCACACGGAACTATTACAACTTTTACAGATATAGTTCTTAGTATAGTTATATTAGTAATATTAGTGAACTAACTAATTAATATGACAACAAATTTAAACAAAAGGACATGGGTGACACCTTCGGGTTGCCGTATCAGGTGACACACGACCTAGTGACGCCACTCCACCGAAGTAAACAGAAGCAGCGGATAAAATTACCTGCCAATTCTTAAAACTCCACGAAAACAGGCTACAACAGAAAATAATTATTCGACAATAGACACTCGTCAGAAAACATGTAGATTATTACCTTGGTAAAAAATTTGAGACATTTTCATTTTAGTAACTAGTTAAAACATTTCATTACCATATCATCGATTAGCTATAAATACCCCCAGGTTCTCAAATCAATAAAACCGATCAACACGATATTTTAGACTTATGTGCGTGACTTAAACAATGGCATTCTGTTAAATGAGATTCCGGCTAAACGAATAAACCTTTTTTGGTTTTTGAAGTTCGTATTGATTTTGTTACTAAACAAACATACTCAACCCGTAGTTAACAACCCCCCCACGCCCCAACCCAACCCGTCCTCCCCCCCCCCCCCCTCATCAAAATGAAGCTGAAAATCCCCCAAGAGTAAAACACGGATAGAAAAAAACAAAAACAAAAATGAGGGTCAGTTGGGTGTGAAAACTATTGAACAGTGGTTATTGATTGGGATGTATGGCCGACCGCATTAACGTGAGTGGCGTTAGAGAAACGAGCAGACGATTATCGATATCGTTTTAGTTGGGCGGTGTGGGGAGTGAGTGTGTGGGGGTTAGTTCGACGGTGTGGGGTAGAGTATTAGAGGGATAGCTGGGCGGTGTGGGGGACAGGGGTTAGTTGGATGGTGTGGGGTAGAGAATTAGAGGGATAGCTGGACGGTGGGGGCTGTGGGGGGAGGGAGGGGGGCAGGGGTTAGTTGGATGGCTTGGGGGTAGAGGGTGTAAGGGATAGGATGAAGAGTGTATGGCGGTTAAATTGATGGTGTTAGGTAGAGAGTGTGAGGGGTAGTTGGGCGGTGTGAGAGAGACTGTGTGTGGGGGATAGGGATGAGTTGGACGTTGCGGGGGAGTGAGGATGTGGGGGTTGGTTCAACGTTGTGGGGTAGAGAATGTGAGGGATAGTTGAGCGTTGTGGGAGAGACGATGTGTGGAAATTCGACAATGTGGGGAGTAGAGGAAGTGTGGGAAATATTAGGACGGTGTGGTGTAGAGAGAGAGAGTGAGGGATGACAACAGGAGGAGAGAAATAATTTTTTTTTTTGGATGAGACGGGCAATCCCTGAGGATTGTGGGAAAAACCAAAAGCACTATAACTATTGAGTGCGCATGCGCTAAGAAGCGCCGCTGAGGCAAATGTTGTCACGCCAGTAAGAACAAAAAAGTGCAATTTCTTTTTCATTTACGGTGAAACAGTTTTAAAAGCATTTAAAAAAAAATTAAAATGTTTTTTTTTTCTATTTGCAATGAGAAATGGGTAGGGATAGGACAAATAAATATTTTAAAATATTTTAAAACAAACGAACGAAGAAAGCTTTTGAAGAAAGCTTTCATAATTAGTAATGCCCTAAGTAACAAAATAAATAAGCACAAAGAGGTGGCTTTATTGCATATTTAATGGGGAAGGTAGAATATGGAATAGCCTAGAAATCAAGGAGCGTCTTTGTTTGATTATTATGGTAGAGCAGGGGTCTCCAAACTTTTCAGCCCGAGGGCCGCATTAACTATCAAATATAAGTTCGGGGGCCAGAGTTTCTTTTTAGGTATATCATTGGGGTGGCATTTTTCCAAAGCCACCTACAACAAACAATTTTTTCCGTGGACAAAAATATCTCCGAGGGCCGGATGAGAGGACCTCGCGGGCCGCATCCGGCCCGCGGGCCGTAGTTTGGAGACCCCTGTGGTAGAGTATAGAATTGCCCAGAAATCAAGACGCAGGATATGTGTTTGTCTGGTGTGATGGTACAGGCTATCACGCAGAAAAGCACGGGTATTCTGTGGGTGAAGGGTGGGCTCTTGAGGACGAGATTTACACCCTAGAAAGGTCAGCGCCTGCCCCAGACAGTGTCCGCGAAATTATTTATCATCCTCACGGTCGATCGATATCTTACAGTTAACAAAGATCGATATCGTAGTTCGATTTAAGCAAAAAAAAAAATATCAATACTGACGGTCAATATAAGTCGAGTTTAACATATTTAAAAACATTGGCACATATTTTTTTGGGTGATAATACAGCGACTCAGTATATGTTGTGCTGAGGGCTCCGAGATGTTATGAATGTGTGACTCTTATGCACGGGGTCAGAATTTCTTCCAGGCATCTATTCGGGGGGGGGGGGGGGGGGCGAGCCTCCGAAGATAATATACCACCTCCCCCCAACGAAATGGAATTTATATAGGAAATATATCCTTATAACAGTGTCCCCCCCCCCACCCCCGGATAAAAAAGTTTAGAAGAAACACTGCACGGGGTTAATTTAAATATAGCATGAAACCTTTGAACTATGGGTGTATTGTAGTGGCGTAGCGACCCTTCCTGGCGCCCGGGGACAAACTTTCGATTTGCACCCCGTTCAAACTATCGATTTGCAACACCCCCCCCCCCCCTCAAACTTTTGATTTGCACCCCCCCCCCCTCAAACTTTCTATTTGTTTTTCCAACCCATTTGGCGCCCCCTTAAGTCGGCGCCCGGGGACATATGTCCCCCCCCCCCCCGTTACGCCTGTTGTGTATTGAATTGAGTGTTGAATCGTTGCATCGAGTGCAACAAGAGACTAAAACTGCATAACATAACATTTAAGACCTATCCATTTTCACAAATGTTATTCTTCATGACTTCATTAGAACATTTTTTGTGGAATGAAACAAGTAATTAGACTGAAAATAAGATATTCTTGAGTTGTCATCGGAAACGAAATTATATGTAAACCACTTCACACACAGATATCAGGCCCGGACGTGGCGACCTATATAAAGCTTGCTAAAACTGGACATAGTTTCACTTAGGTATAGCCAGATTTCCATAAGAGAAGCTGCAAGCATCCTACTTGGCAATGCACGAGATTCCATGGCAATACGACCAACTCTCGCGAGATTGGACCCTCCGCAGCGCCACAACGGCGGTACACTTGTTATTCACATATTTCATGACATACAAAAGGCTGCGTATGAATTCAACCCGACATGGACTAAATTTTGGGCAAGTCTTCCAACCAATCAATGCTTCTTTCGCATACACAGCATTTCAAAATCGATCTTGATAAAATTTAGAGCACGTTTTTTGAAAAGCGCTTAGTTTTGTCAAAATAAAAGCATTGCTATTTCAAGTGGGTTTTTAAATTATATTTTCAATGAACGAATAAAAAATCCCTAAATCGTGCACTAAAACGTCTTTTATATTTAAGGGAAAAACCCTATTGCATAAAAGAAAGCCAGTAATTGGGTATAATTTTCTGAACAGTTCTATGGTTAAAAGCAGCTTAAAAAAAAGTAATGCATCTCTAACACCCCACAAGTTCCCAATCTGAATACGCCGAAAAACAAAATTCATTAAAAGCTTTCTAGAAAGCTCTACCAAATTAATTAATAATGTTCATCCTTCCTCCCACTTTAGTGTTAAATGCTTTATCGACCGGTATGACGATAAAAAATTATTTTTCTCTTTCCCCAAAGCTAAGGCATCTAGGGTTGAAGTCAATGGGTACAAGTGGTTGGTAGGTAGGGGTCAGGAGAGTGACCTCAGTCTAGAGGTGGGGTTGGTAGGTAGGGGTCAGGAGAGTGACCTCAGTCTAGGGGTGGGGTTGGTAGGTAGGGGTCAGAAAAGTGACCACAGTCTAGGGGTGGGTTTGGTGGGGTATGGGTCAGGAGAGCGACCTCAGTCTAGGGGTATATTCGATGGGCGCAGGTTAGATTAGTATTTTCACTGTTTACCTGTATGTGATTTTATTTGACAAGACACGGCGATCTGACGAAGCTTCTGTGCCGCGCTGTATCGCGTAAACCTATTCGTTCACCGACAGAGGGCGTACACCAATAGTAGATACGAGCCGACCCGCGGCATATCATACGCCGCTATTTAGTTGTTTTATTTTCTACTTTTCAGTAATGCTGCCACTGAAAATATTTGCTTTAAAACACTATCAGTAGGTCGTTAAGGGCGATACTACCCCCACCCTCCTTTCCCCCAACCCCTAACTTACACCAACCCCCCCCCCCCCCCCCCCGTGAAAGCAGCCTCCTCTTAGTTACCTTCCCTAAGTTGAAAATCGTTTCAAACTAAATTATCTGCCCCTAGTAGCCGTCACTAAACCCGGCTCTACGATTGTAAACATTTAGCGTGAACCAAAGCTCACCAGACCATGTAGGGGTGGGGTGGTAGGGAGCGCGCTTACGGCTTGTTTTCTAGCATCTCAAGAAGAGAATTATATATATAGATGCATGTCCCACCGTTAGGGAGCTTTTCTGTGTTAGTGAACAAAAAAAAAACTACCTAGGATCGCTTCTCTTCAAGAATTTTGTTTCGTGTTAATTTAACAAGCCTTATAAAAATTTCGATACAGTTTTTGAGTCATTTTGAGTGCAGAGCAATAGTCTTTGTACCCTAAAATATGGCAGCTTACATATTTCCTCGTTTTTGTTATGTTTTCTAGCGGTGTTTCTTTCGGACCGAGGAGGTGGGGCGGGCACTGGTATA